CTTTATAGCATGAATTTTAAGGTCTTATGATGGGGATTCGAACCCGCCACCTTAGGTGTATGTGGCTGGCGCCTTAGCCGGTTGAGCTATAGGCGCTGAGCCAGTCCCAGTGGTCTTAAGGTCTCATTGCATTCACTTAGCAAAAACATTAACCTGCTCATACATTTAAATAATCAGCTGCAACTTTCAAAAAGCCACATAGCGGTTTAACAGTATAACGCTTAGTGGAACCAATGTCTTTCATCATAATGATTTGTACTTTATATTACATGTTCCACAATGGTGTCTAAAATATTATTATTAATGCATACTGCATAATCAAATGGCACTAAGGAGCATACTCCAGACCTATGGTTTTCAAACTAAGCCAGAATCATCAGCTTCATCTGGGAATGTCTGGATCAATCATAAAGTAGTTGAAAGATTTCATAATCTTTTAAGCTAAATGTTTGGTTCAGTGCCTGTAGTTTAGTGAATAGGGCACTGGACACATATACCAAGTCTGGTGAGTTTGAGCCCGGCCTGGGCCTGCTAAACAACAATGACAACTGCAACAAAAAATAGCTGGCTATTGTGGCAGGCACCTATAGTCCCAGCTACTTGGGAGTCTGAGGCAAGAGAATCACTTAAGTCTGAGAGTTTGAGGTTGCTGTGAGCTGTGATACCATAGTTCTCTACAGAAGGCATATTGAGACTCTGTCTCAAAAAAAAAAAAAAAAAAAAACCTGAATATTTCTCACTTTTCTTAGAATGAGCTCTCTCCTTTTATACGCATGTCTTAGAACCTTAAGGATCAGGATGAGTTTTATTTTCACTGCCCAATTATCTGATATTTCTCAAACATCCATGGTTTTCAAAAATAATATCTGATGATCCAAATGTTTACTAGCCAATACCAGGATCATAGCTATATTTAGCATGGAATACGAATAACAAAAAGTCTAGAAGATAATACATTTTGGGGTAGGGTAGATGAAAAGAGAGGGGCCCATTTTCAAGAAAGATCAGTTTCATCCCTTGGCAGCCTTGATTTCAAACAGTTCCCCCCTCTTATTTTTGTATGGATGTTACCCTCACTCTCTTTCCCTTAAAACAGCCTATTTTCCCCCCTTTTTCCTCCTTCACATTTTAACCTAGGAAACTACTCATTTATTTTGTTTTTTCATGTTTCTACAAAGTTAAGTTTTCCTTAACTTGGCTTTACTATTGCAAATTATGGTTCACTTTTAAGCATGAAGGCTGGAAAAAGCTTCTAAGGAGCCCTACGGCTGCATTATAGAGGCAGGCCTTTCATTCTGAATTGTTTCTAGATGTGCATGCAGATTGCAAGTCTTTTTTTATTGTATCACAAAAAGGATTTATGAATAATTCATAATCCCAGCATTTTGAAATAAAAAGTTCTTGTATTATGACAGATTTGGAAAGCTGAAAAGCTCATCAAACTTTTTAAGTACCTAACACCTTTCTAAAACAAAAAGTAATCTCTACCATTAACTAATGAGTTTAAAATACTTTGTGATGTTGATGTAGAAAATGGGAAAAGAGAATGAAGAGAACTAACATTTGTTAAGCAACTATTATGTGCCAGATGCTTATATATTTTTTCATGAAATCTCCATGACAACTTGCAAATCACATTATTCCCCAATGTTTTGTTAATTTTTCCAAGATCACATGGGACTGGGCTTGGCTCAGAGAACAGCCATCACTTAAAGTCCATTTTCTCCCCCTATATTCCATGCTACAAGCACAGTGGACACTCAAAAGACCAGGTGAATAAAGGAAAGAATGGATTTACTTACATTGTTGTTGGTCACAGCAAAGTACTGCAAATTACTCAGATACTGGATTTCTTCTGGAATGAAGGTCAGGTGGTTATAGCTTAGATCCAAATAATGAAGTTTGGTGCATAGGAAAAGCTGCAAGGGCAGATTCTCTATATTATTATGGTCCAAAGAGAGCTGCTCTAAGTTGGATAATGCCCCAATCTGTGCAGGAATATAAGCGATGTTATTGTGCCATAACTTCAAGCAGGACAGGTTCTGAAGATGCTGAAAGCTAATGATCTCTTCCACGGTTTTAAGGTTATTTTCTTTTAGGTCTAACTCATGCAGATTGTTCAGGCTGAAAATGGAGTGTGGAATGCGCTCCAGGTCACAGCTGATCAGTTCTAGGCTCTTCAGATTGACCATCTTCTTCAAGTTGTTCAACACAACCAGTTTGCTTCCCTCGTTATCAAGGGACAGCTTCTGCAGTGAAGGCAAGAGGTCTGTGACGACCTGTGGGATGCGGGACAGGCTGCTCTTCAAGTAGAGGGTCCTCAGATTTTTCAAGTCCTGAAACCCCTCCAACTGCATGGTGCCCAGCTGCTCAGGGAGGACACAGCCTGACAGATAAAGTTCCTTGAGGTTCTTCAGGTGAAATACCCAGCGTGGGATTTTTCCCATTTCAGTAAATTTCAGGCGGAGGATCTTCAAATTCTCCTCGAGGAAGGCCAGTGCGGGATGGTCAACCACCAGGGACGAATGGTACACGCGCAGCTCCTTGAGGTTGACCAGCTGTGAGACAGCGGAGGGCAGCTTCACCTCGGGGATGAGCTCCAGGCTCAGCACTTCCATTTCCGTTAACTCAAACACATTGTCGGGAAGACCGTTGAGCATGAAAAGATGCAGTTCTATCTTGTCCTGGGCGTTTTTCACCAGCTTACTTTTCAGTTTCTCAACTGTCCATTCGTTGTTGAGGTTGATCTGTTTCAGTTTATTCTCGCTGACCTCCGACAGGAATATGGAGAAACGTTTGGAGTAAAGGGGGTCATACTGATCGGCCAGATGAAGGATAAAGGCAAAGTCATTCTTGACGTCCGGGATGTCACTATAATTGCTTTTTTCTCTTAATGCCTCAAAGGAATATTGCTTCAGAGAACTCCTCAGCATCCACCACAAGCTGTAGGAGGAGGTGAGACCGTAGAGTATAACCAAAATGACGTAAAATGAAGCCAGGACCTTAAATATTTCTGCCAAAGAGTAGACACACTGGTAGTGCTTATAGCCTGTGAACGCCTGAACATCAATGGAACAGTCGATTTCAAGACTGATGTAGGTTAAAAAATAGGGGACATAAGTTATGATGAGGGCAAACAAGATGACTTTGACGATTATCTGCTTCAGATACACCCGATAAATGATGTCCTTCTGCTCCACGTGCATACGGAACCTCTTCACCTTTTCAAAGATGGCTTTGGCCTGTTCTCCCTCCTTTTTATCTAGGACACTGGAAGTTGGGCTTTCTATGCCAGCTGATTCCAAGCCTGGCTGCGGGTAGGGCAGCGACTGCTTGCTGGAATCAACGTCAGCTGAGCACCCTGAGGATGAAAGCAAAATCTTGGACTTGGAGAGTTTCATGGGCCTCACTGACTGCTCAGCCACTGTTTCCGACAGGGCACGAGTGGTCCACGGAGAATCGAAGCACTTGTGAAGGATGGCCACAAAATGCTCAAGCCTGGAACTGGTACTGGGGTAGTGAAGCCAAAAGTTGCTGCAGGCTGCAAAGATGAGCGTGTGCAGGAGCACCAGGTAGGGGAAAAACTTTGCAAACCAGTGGAGCTGTTTCTCGTAACAGACAGCATCGATGTAGGAGTACTGCTGTCGGTGGAGGTCATTCTGGATCCGAAGGGGGAGTGGGAATGGTGTCTCGGGGTTAGAGGATGCATTTGCACTGGCTTTCAGGATGTCCCAAGGCACAGCACAGTGATTGTCAAACTCCACTTTGCACGGAAGACAGCACAGAACCCTGCTCTGTGTCAGCTGGAGAGCTCCGGCCAGCACGGCCACCAGCAGCATGATCAGGGTGATATAATACCAGAAGACGTCCCACCATGGTTTTAAGATGTGGTAAGATGCCTGGGTGTCTGCTAAACATTTTAGCTCTGTTAGTGTAATCATGACTTCCCCTTGGAGGAGGACAGAACCTGGAAGAGGAAAAGAGAAGACATGCTATTAAGGAAGCGCTCAGATAAGCACCAACTCTACTCCTGTATACATGCCCCCTTCCCGAGGCGGAGCCAGCCCAGGGGCAAAGCCAGAGGCAGTGCAAGGGCACGTAAGGCACCACAGGCCATTTCAGCCTGGCACTGTGAAGTCTCTAGAGGGGGTCGCTTCATGATAGCCTGACTGGATGTGTAAAGAAATGTGCCCTTGAGGCAATTATCTAGTGACCTCCTGGATCCCAACTCCAGGCTGGGCTATTAAAAACCAGGAACCAGGGAGGTGCCTGTGGCTCAGTGAGTAGGGCGCTGGCCCCATATACCAAGGGTGGCGGGTTCAAACCCAGCCCTGGCCAAACTGCAACAAAAAATAGCCGGGCGTTGTGGCAGGCGCCTGTAGTCCCAGGTACTTGGGAGGCTGAGGCAAAAGAATCGCCTAAGCCCAGGAGTTGGAGGTTGCTGGAGTGACTCCGCTGCACTCTACCAAGGGTGAAAAAGTGAGACTCTGTCTTTACAAAAAAAAAAAAAAGAAAAAACCAGGAACTAAGCCTGGCTGCGGTGGCTCAGCCTCTAGGAGGCTGAGATGGGTGGATTGCCTGAGCTCAAGAGTTTAAGACCAGCCTGAGCAAGAGCAAGATCTTGTCTCTACCAGCAAAAAAAAAAAAAAAACCAGAAAAAGAGAAAAATACAAAAATAGCAGGGCACTGTGGTGGGCACCTGTAGTCCCAGCTACTCGAGAGAGGCTGAGGCAGGAGGATCACTTGAGTGGGAGAGTTTGAGGTTGCTGTGAGCTATGATGCCACAGCACTCTACCAAGGGCAACTGTGAGACTCTGTCTCAAAACAACAACAGCAGCAACAAAATAGGAATAATTTTTCTTCAACTGACATTGGAAAAACTTTTTCTGATTTCGACAGCTGCATTTATGCTTTCCAAAATGTCTGAATAAGCTCCTTTCCTGCCCAGCCCCACACCTGCAGCATCAGTTGCAGCCTGACAGTTGGCTCCGTCCCCACAAGGAGCCTCTTTAGAACAAGCTCTGCTTTATACCGTTATCCCTTCGGCTTAGCGCGCTGGAAACAAACTGTCCGTGAATACATCATCTCCTTTCCTCCAAGCTCTCGCTTTGTAATTCAAGTACACGAGTATTTAAAAACGTAGAGCATGTAAAGTTGTAAAAGGATAGGGAAGAAAAACTCTATCAGAATACTCTCTACCATGGGGCATTCAGGTTTAATGCTGTGATGCAAAGTACTTAAAGGATAAATGACCAAGGCCTGTTCTAGTATTAAATTACTTTTGCCTTCAAAAGTAAGATGGTTTGGTATTTGCATGTCAAAAAGTATTTAGAAAGCCTTCCTGAAAATCTCTCTGTTTAGCTTTATATTGATCAATTGTTTGAAAAATTGCTAATGAGTAAAATCCAGACTCTCTATACAACACCAAAAAAAAAAAAAAAGGATATATGGATTGTAATAATATCTGGTAAGAAAAGGAAAATAGAATCAGGTGACATGATCACCCTTCCCTGGTTGTCCAGCTCTAACCTGTGCCCAAAGGCTTTTCCTGATCACTCTTCCCTGGTTGTCCAGCTCTAACCTGTGCCCAAAGGCTTTTCCCGGACATTCCTGAGTCTCAGGTCTTACCCTCTACCCTGGGCCTGAGTTTCTCTCTGAACATGCTAGCACTGGTAGCACCCTTAAGGAAGCCTGCTTTGGCTCTGTGGCTCAATCGGCTAAGGTGCCAGCCACATACACCTAAGGTGGCGGATTCGAATCCCCAGCCCGGGCCCGCCAAACAACAATGATGGCTGCAACCAAAAAATGCCTGGCGCTGTGGTGGGCGCCTGTAGTCCCAGCTACTTGGGAGGCTGAGGCAGGAGACTTGCTTGAGCCCAGGAGTTGGAGGTTGCTGTGAGATGTGAGGCCACGGCACTCTACCCAGGGGGATAGCTTGAGGCTCCGTCTCAAAAAAAAAAAAAAAAAATGGAAGCCTGCTTTGCTCTCATTAGTCCTTCTGGAGACTGGAATCTTGCCTTGAACCCAGAATCCCATTAAAGATGCTCTGCTCCCCACTACTAAGTATCTCCTCTTTTGCTGGCCATCCTCAGAATATTCCTGACCAACTGACCCTGAACCCTACAGCTTCATGCTCTCCCACCTCTTAGGGTACAATCCCATAATCCCTGATTTTATCAATACTTGCTGGACTGGAGCAACATACTGCCCGCGTCCTCCTTAGGCATCAAATCCTTTTATATAGAAACAACTTCCTCTAGCAGTTGAGGTTTGATCATAACTCTCCAGAACATCTCGCCTTTACATTAATTTAGTGGGTCTATTTCTAACTCTCAATCTTCTCATCCTTCCTTACATAATTGTCAAGGCAAGGCAGAAACCAAAAGGAAAAGATTACACGAGAGGAATACTCCTAGACTTATACCCCAAAATAAACATGATGGGAGAGGGGATGGCAGAAAACACTGCTGGATGAAAGAGCATGTGGAAAATATCTAGAGATTTCAGCTGATGTGCATGCATACTTTTAGCTAACCATATGACAGCAATTATGCTAAAATATTAAAACCTTTGGGCATTAATAAATGAACCCAGATAATGGGGGAGCAGTCTTATGCCTGCCTACTGAGATCACAACTGGCACCCAATGCTCAGTTATAGGTTAAAGATGAAATGGGCACTAAAATAATTAGGCAGCTGAGACAAAAGATGACCAGGTAAAGCTGAGAACGGATCTTTATATTTTTGTGCAAGTGTTTCATGGATGAAAGAATAAATGCATTCGTTCCAGAGGTAGAACTAGGTGGGTGGAAGTTTTAGGAAGTCGCATTTTGACTCTGGTAGAACATCATCGATCAGATCGCTCTGTGAACCAGTTCATTTGCCCCAGCAGGGTCAGATAAATGACCACACATCAGGGATGTCGCAAAGAAATTTCTTGTAGTGGATAAAGACAGTGAACCAGACACTCTCTATAGGTTCTTTCAGTTTTACGTTCATGATTTTACATGTTCTTCCAAAGATCCTGAGAGCCAAATTCACTGAAGATACACAACTGAAATTGCAGAAGAATGAAAACATCAATAGCTCTAACAGTAAGGGTATTTGACAGATAGTGACTATTTATTTGACCAAAAAATACACGTTAACTTGACCACAATGATGTACTTTAAATATTTATACTTACTACAGTGAAAAAAATGAATCAAGTTAATCAGCTATGCTTCAGTCGGGAGGTCTACACCTTTTGAAATTTCTTAGAAACACCATCTCTGTGTTTGTCTTCATTCTGTGAGAAAGCATAAAGATCTTGAAACAGCTATAGTCATTCAAACAAACAAAAATATGGGCGCTACTGTCTTTGGAGACTCTCTCCAGCATAAGATATAATAAGGCCAACACATTTTCACAGGTTAGTTTCCTTTTTCGCACTGGGGCACATTCTGGCAGAGCGGTATCTACAGGACCTCATTCACATTCATCAAACCATATTCATGCCCTGAACTCTCCTCCAATTACGGAGATGTTTCTACAGAAATTTAGATACAACATATTTTAAAATTCTGCATCTAAGACACTTTGATGAACACTTAGCTTTTTCCAAGTAATCTACATATGTTAATTTCTCTCACTCATCCTTATACACAGTTGTTCTTATTTGCATTTATCAGATGGCTTGTCAAACCATGTGTTTTCTGCACCCTTACTGAAAAACACACATCTATCCAAATAAGAATGCTCAGTGCTCCTAAAATTTAGCCTACCAATTCCACTAGAAAAAGTCACAAGTGAATATCGTTTTTCAGTCACAGCTCAGAAATATGGCTTACATTCCCTGAAATTACATTATCATTAAAGATAGCTAGCCTTTGTAATAGATTTTATTAGTATATATGTCCGTCATTTGTGATAGTTTAATTTCATACACATTGTTAAGTTTGAACTGTGAGAAAATTTTGAAATGTCAGATTTGTTTACATATTTATTTATTTACTTATTTATTTTTTGAGACAGTCTATGTCATCCTCAGTAGAGTGCCATGGCATCACAGGTCACAGCAACCTATAACTCTTGGGCTTAAGTGATTCTCTTGCCGAGGCCTCCCAAGTAGCTGGGACTACAGGCACCCGCCATAACACATGGCTATTTTTTTGTTGCAGTTGTCATTGTTGTTTAGCTGGCCAGGGCTGGGTTCGAACCCACCAGCCTTGGTGTATGTGGCTGGTGCTGTAACCACAGTGCTGCGGGTGCCAAGCCTGTTTACAAATTTAATGTGAAACTTATATTTTTTAGTGGCTATGGAACTTCAAAAAAATTGCTGGGAAGGGTTTTATATTTTCCCTGAAGAGACAGTCCATTTATTAATTTATTAAGTACTTGAAATCCAGCTAAGACCTGACCTCAAACTGTACTTTTAGCAATAACCTTATGACCCTTGTCATTTCAAATATCAGAAAGCTGGGCACGTCCTGACATTTACTTTGGGTTTGCCACATCATGTGAAAAGCCTACTTTATAATTAATCATCTTTCAGTATCAAATAGCTTTTCAGGTTAGAAAGCACAGTTGGTATGTATTATGTAACACACTAGCTGTGCACTAATTCATAATTATATGGCACCACTGGAGTGTGAGTTTCTATTTCATAAGCCTTTATAAAAGGCTTATAGCATGTAATGCACGATTGCATTTATGTAACAATAAATATTAAGTATATTAAAGACACCTGATGTGTGAAACAAAATGTTATATATATTGTTCTATAGCACTGCATCTGTAACAAGCCAGAAAATAAATTATTACATAATTCCAGAATGCTACTGAGCCATTATGCTCCTTCTTTATGTTTTCTGTTTTTTTACTTTTTGAGACAGTCTTATTCTGTAACCCTGGCTAGACTACCGTGGCATCATCATAGCTCACTGCAACGTTAAACTCCTGGGCTCGAGCGATCCTCCTGCCTCAGCCTTCTGGGACTGAGGTGCACTCTACCACTCTTATCTATAGAAATATATAAGTTTTCTATATTTTGTAGAAACAGGGTCTTGCTGTAGCTCAGGCTGGTCTAGAACTCCTGACCTCAATGGATCCTCCTGCCTTGGCTTCCCAGAGTTCTAGAATTACAGATGTAAGCTACCATGCCTGGCCATAATCCTTCTTACACATAGTTTCCCTTAAATGTGTGGCCCATAACCCCCGGGTGGCAGACCAGTACGACTCCATGGCCTGTTAGGAGCCAGGATGCTCAGCTTCACTGCCTGAGCTCTGCCTCCTGTCCCATCCTTCCCCACACCTCCACCCACGTCCATGGAAAAATCGTCTTTCATGAAACTGGTGCCTGGTGCTAAAAAGGTAGGGGACCACTGCCCTAAATATTACAGAGATATTTTTTACTTTATTAATAATCTCTTACGTTTTTCTACTTTCAAAGCATGTTTCATTTTTATTAATTTGTTTTATACTTATAATAAGCCATTGAGACAAATGGAATTAGTCTTCACATTTTATAAACATGGAGAATCAGGCAGGCCCAAAGAATTTATCTTGCCCAGGGTGAAAAAACTGGCAAGAGACCAAGTTACAGCTGGAACGCAGGGGTTCAGACTCAAACCCCTAACTCATTGCACACCACGCTCCACGGCCTCCATCCAATTAACCATGTCACAGTCTTAGTTTTCTCAAAATCGGAAGAAAAAGTTACTTAGCTTTCTCCCCCAATTCACCCAATATGTGACTTGTTACTGGGCTCTATCATAATTTTGTCAATAGGATGCAAATGTTTTCGGCCATGTTTCACTTACACACTATATAATTTACTTTCTCAGATAAACATTTTTCTACAAATATTTTCTACTGACATATCTAAGCCTTAATATTTAAATATATAACATCTGTATATGAGGACACATGAAGGGGCCGGGCATGGTGGCTCATGCCTATAATCCTAGCACTGTAGGAGGCCGGGGTGGATTGCCCTGTGTTCACGGGTTTGAGACCAGTTTGAGTAAGAGTGAGTCCCCATCTCATCTAAAAATAGCCGAGTCTCTAAAAATAGTGGGCATTGTGGCGGGTGCCTGTAGTCCCAGCTACTCAGGAGGCTGAGGCAAGAGAATTGCTTGAACCCAAGAGTTTGAGGTTGCTGTGAACTGTGACACCACAGCACTCTACTGAGGGTGACAAAGCGAGACTTGTCTCAAAAGAAAAAGGTACATGAAAAGCGAGAGGTTTAGGAATAGAGTTCCAGCCAGTGTCTGCAAGGAGAGGAGGCCAGTCTAGGGATTAAGGATAAGCTTTATTTTAAAGGAGCAGAGTGGAATCTGACCAGAAGTCAGTACCTCCCTCCTAACAGTTTCAAAGGACTTTTAGTAGTGTAGTTGGACTGGGGAGAGGGGAGCAGAAGGGGTTAATCTTGCACCTTGGTCCTATCTCCAGGTGACAGCAAGGACCAGGGTAGGAGATTCTGATGTTGCCCAGGAATACAGCAGGTCTTGAAGCATTCCAAAAGGGTGGGCAGGGGTTGCTGTGACCATGCCATTTGGTCTCTGACCCGCCTTTTATCACTAGCTGTCCTTCCAGGATGACTATGCTCTTGTCAGAGTCAGGAGGATGTACAGGAATGTGGCAAGGGGGTTGCTGTAATCACGCAATTTGGTTTCTGGCTCACTTTCTTGCGCTACTTGTCTCCCAAATAGCTGCATTTTTGCCAGGCTTGTGAGGATTTCTTTCCCACAAAAAGTCTTAAGCATTTCTATATATTAAATTATGCTACTTTTTCTAACTGAAGCATTTCACTGAAGAGTCTGACCATGGTTATCCTTTGTCATTACACCATTAAATACTATTTGTATGTCCAGGAAATTTTTCCAGCCCATATTTTAGCAAACAATGAGCAGTCAACTCAAATGCATTTTCTACTTCTAATATGCAACAGATGTATTAGATCAGCTCAAAGAAACAATGCTAAGACATTGGTCCTAATCGTTTTCCTTTAGCTTTTAAACCTCATTAAAAAGTCATAAAAATTGGGGAGAGGGGAGAGGGAAGGGGGGGAGAATGGGTGGAGGGAGGGTGATTGGTGGGATCACACCTATGGTTCATCCTATAAGGGTACATGTAAATCTCTCTAAATGTAGAATATAAATGTCTTAACACAATAACTAAGAAAAAGACATGAAGGCTATGTTAACCAGTTGGATGAAAGTATTTCAAATTGTATATAGAAACAGTACACTGTACCCCATGATAGTATTAATGTACGCAGCTATGATTTAATAAAAAAAAAATAATGGTAGGTGGGGATTTAAAAAAGTCATGAAAACTTTTCAAAACACATGAATTCACTTGATGTTCTCATTCCAAAGTCTCTAAGGCTATAACATCACTCATGTTTAGGCATTTTTGTTTTTATTATTTATTTATTTTTTTTGAGACAAAGTCTCACTTTGTCACCTTTGGTAGAGTGTCATGGTGTCATAGTTCACAGCAACCTTAAACTCTTAGGCTCAAGCGATTCTCTTGCCTCAGCCTCCCAAGTAGCTGAGACTACAGGTGCCCACCACAATGCCCAGCTATTTCTTTGAGATGAGGTCTCACTCTGGTTCTGGCTGGTCTCGAACCCATGAGCTCAGGCAGTCCACTGGCCTCAGCCTCCCAAGTGCTAGGATTATAGGCGTGGGCCACCATGCCCGGCAAGTTTAGGCATTTTTACTTCTTAATTTACTTTTGAAGCATTTCCTTTTATATAATTTTTTTTTTAAAAAAGCATTTCCAAAATAACTAGTGAAAAAATAAACAAATGCTGATCAGACGTTATTTAGAGTCATTATACGCTGAGAATTGGATGCTACTTCAAAGAGCTGTCTCTGAGCCCAGGCAGGGATTAGAGCCAAACAATTCAAAACAGCAGCTCTGTATGCTGTGCTCACTAAAAATTGATTTAGAAACCACCTTATATTCCTTCACATTGTTTAGTGCTAGCTACTTCCCATCGAGATGTTTCTTGAGTCTAATATATTCCCTAACTGAAATTTAAATTCATCTCTTTGAGTTCTCTAGGAAACAATGCATTAGTGCCTTTAATAAATTTGCCCTTTTCTTTATAATAAATACCCCCTTTAACCACTCTTCAGAGATCTGATGACAAGAATTTAATATTTCTCAAATACTTAAATAATCCCCAGCAGGAACACTTACTACGCCAGTTTCGTTACCTATGTTCCCTACCATTTCTTTCAGTACTTGACAGTGCAGTATTTTCAAATAATGAACATAATTTCCAAACTTAGTTGT